GCCTAAATAGTTCTTAGAATCTATCGTAACACTCCTCACTGATATATTCCGGCTGGAATATATGCCCTCCATGCCTCGATAGATAGAACTGCAAGCTTTGTGGCAGGTGTCACGTATATTCCAGAGATAGTCTTCACGGTAGCGCTCCTTACTTGACCATCGGCGCTAATCTTCACATCCAGTATACGTCCTTCTGGACAGCTGGATCTCGGGTTGTCTGGGTCGCAGATGTACACGATGTCGCCCACCTCCAGAACATGTCTGCAAGCTGCTGCGATGCCATCCAGCATCCAGCGATGCAAGCAGCATTCCTTCAGTAGTAGGTCCCGCGGCCGGCTTACTACCACTGGAGCTACCAAGCAGGAAGTGGTTTGTTGTGAGGGCCTCCTCGTTCTCGTTTTGTAAAGGGATGTAGGTCAGCGGCCGCGAGTTGACAATCATCTCTACCTCAATGAGCGCTCCACGAAGAAGTTCAACCGAGGGTCGTGCGCTTGTTAGAAGGGAATTCAGGGCTACTTTCACTGAACGCACTCAGCGTTCCCAAGAACCACCCATATGAGGCGATGCAAGAGGGATGAATTTCCATTTCATCTCAGGACCGGTGAATTCCCTAGTCAGTTAGTCCATGTCTAGCGCTTCAAGATGTCTTCGTAGCTCGGTATTAGCCCCTTGGAAGTTAGTTCCGTTGTCGCTCCAAAGCTCAACTGGACTGCCGCGCCGGGCTATGAAGTTGCGAATTGCTAAAATACAAGAGTCTGTGGTTAAGGAATACGCTATCTCGAAGTGTGTTGCTCTTGTAGAAAGACACGTAAACAAAACGCCGTATCTTTCTCCGAGCTTTGTCTGACTGCTACCAGAAGAGGTCCAAAGTATTCCACTCCTGTGTAGCTAAAGGGACGATGGAATGCAGGCAGCCTTGGATTTTGCATATTTTGGATATTCTGCCCGTCGATTTTTGCATATTTGGCAGGCCAAATATTTTCCCTTAAGCAGCAGTGCTACCTCGTCTTGGTAGTGCTCCGCCTGTGCGTCCGACCACAGAGTCATCTCCGACTCTGAAACGTAGGTAGCACACAGCTTCAAACCCGTTTTCACCGGCGTCTACGAAGGTGGGCATTTCGACCTGATGCTCCGACATCGTCTTGGGCATATAGCATCTGGGGATAGACATTTTCTCAACGTCAGGGATGTGTTGAAGCCAGCGTTTCCATTTAATCCATTCTTCCTCACAAATGGAATTGTCCCACTGGCATCCCGATCGCCGAATTTCCTGGAACACTATTTTAGCGTACATCACGTAGAATAAAAGGAGTCCTAGCGGATAATAGATTGCCATCATCATGCTTAGGAACTTTCGTTTAGTAGGGCGACGCTTTCCTTGGAGTATTTCCCCTTGTTTATAATGAGGGGATACACGGTATCTAATCATGTCGTCATTCGTATCCCACCACATTCCGAGCACTTTCTCTGTGTGCTTATCATCGCCATCATCCAGTGGTATCGTTGTAGATTTCTCCTCTCCCAGTGCCTTCAGGACCGTACGGGAGTTAGAAACCCAGTTGCGTATCTTGCGTATACACTCTTTCGAGTGTATGTGGTGGACCGTCTTGGCCAGGTTAATTGCTTCTTCTTCTGTGTCAACGCTATCCAACATGTCATCTACATAGTGGCTTTCCAGTATGCATTTTACTGCTCTTGGGTATTGTTTCTCGAATTCTTTGGCATTTTTGTTTTTCACAAATTCCGCGAAGCTTGGGGAGCAGCTAGCTCAAAGGTCATTACTTGCAAGACGTAGTTCTCCCGAGTTTGCGTGCCAGGATCTATGAATACAAATCGTTGATAATTTTGGTCCTCAACGTTTATTCTCACCTGGTGAAAAATTTCTGTAATATCTCCTCCAATTGCTATAAGCTATTGCTATAACGCCAAATTCTGACCCCTTTCGCGGAATCCCGCGTTCGTAAGATCGGCAACTCTTATTACGAGCTGGAAGACCTTCAAGGGCGAGCTGTGGGCAAACAATATGGCAAACACATGTTTACTTAAATACGTTTTGTTTCGAGACAACATAGGTATGTATCTGTATATTTTCAAGGTCTTCGTGGGAAACGCCACGCTTTTATTTCAACTCATCGGCGCCGGGAGATCGATCCTCGCCGAGGATTAAAATTGAGTGAGTTTTATCTGCCTTAATATTTTTTATTTGGAAATAAAGCACTGAAAACACACTGAAAGAAATTAAATAGAACCACTTACAAAGAGAACAATCATACTAATATTCAAATTGTACACTGAGGAAATTATTGGAGACTAAGCAAACAAAAAAAAAAAATAATAATTTGTACCCCAGAATATTGAATCTAAAGAATACACTGGGAACAATTTATTAAATATGAATGTATATATTTATATTTCTAAAGTTAGCTATTAAATATTAATTATAATCAACGCGATTATAACTAACTTTTACGTGAACAACTCGTTTATATTTTATTTAATTCACTAATCAAAGAAACTGAGTAAAAAATAATTTATTAAACAAGAATAATGAAAAAAAAAATAAAATAAATATTTCTATTTAGGTATTTTAGCATCTACTTAATATATCTAACTTACCTAATGATTACCTTAATGATTTTCTATTTACTTAAACTCACATAAATCTGTATATAATACCTTACCATGGAAAAATCCAATTTATTTAAATTCATATGTACTTATTATTAGTTCTTATGCACATTGTTATTAGTTATTCGTCACGAAAATAGAAATGAATGTCCAAAACATTAAGTACTGAACTCGGCTGATGTTTCTCCGGACATAGCGCACACAAGGGGCCACTACAGGGCTCTTGAGGAAAGTGGTCAAAGGTAGGACAGGGCATTCCGCGTACACAATAACACCCGTGTTTCGGTAGCAACAAATTTGTCATCCTTTTCCTTATTTTCTAGAACTATCCTTTTCTGAATATATTTATTTGATTCTTCCAATTTTGTATACTAGCTCCCATGTATTCGACCTTATTCAATAATGTCTGTAGCGAAAAGGTATCTGTACAGGCAAGACCACCACCCCAACGCCAGATTCTAAAGCGTGCACCCGCAAGTACAGATTTCCTTACCTTCACCTTCCATCATATTATATCATTACAAGTAACGCTCCTATAACACTTAAAATAGCCTACTACGGGTGAAATAACCTTATTTACCTTAATTCCATTCTTACGTTGAAGGTCTAATAGGAATGGACTTATTATCATATATAGAAGAAGAAATAGATCTAAAAACTCCGAGTACCGACATACCTATACACACTCATAATGACCTTACTTCAAACATACATAACATTTCTGAACAAACTTTATTACCATTACCAGTAAAGAACAAACAAGGCGAGTATTAATATATATAGACCCCATTACGATCAGTGACGACTTAATAAAATCAAGTGACATTTATAAAAAAAAACTACCAATTTTGTAATCACTATCTATAGTGAGACATATCAATTATTATATTAAATTATTATTTAATAAATTCTTTAATAACATGTAAACTACTATTGTCTGCTTCCAACACAAATCGCGTCAGGTAATACAACCTGAGCAGCCAAAAATGAATTGGCCGAACAAGTGATGACCTACCTAAGGGCCTAGGGGTTGTGATGGGTCAGTCATGCTCATGAAATCCTACGGATCAACGGCATAGATCATGATGACACGCCGATCATATTATGGTATAAGCCTGGAAAACTTAATTTGAAAACAAGGAACAATATCCTGACCATCCGTCACAACACCAATGGACCTTCTACACCCTGCTCGTTCTGGATGTGGTGATCTTATGGTGGCGAACAAAGCACATCATTCATGTGCACGAAGATCATCAATTACGATCTACGCAGACTTCAGAGACAAAGACGCAGCGCAAAATTAGTTTCCTGATGTTGCAACGCCCACTCTAATATTGGTAATATTGGTAGTATTGCTAATATGGGTAGGAATGCTAATATGGGTATTATTGGTAGTATTGCTAATATGGGAAGTATTGCTAATATGGGTAATATTGCTAATATGGGTAGTATTGCTAATATGGGTAGTATTGCTAATATGGGTAGTATTACTTATATGGGTAATATTGGTAAAATGGGTAATATTGGCAACGCCTAAGAGCCGCTCAAAAAACCCTTAAAACATACTTTGATTTTATTTTATTATTTACCTTGCCAATTTCTATCGGTATACCACTTTATCCACTTCCACAAGGTTCCATAATCCGTCACTCCCACGGCTTGGTTATTTTATTTTTATTTTAGATTTCTATCCAATGCCAAGAAAAAGGTAAATGCTTTTCTCTTGAACTAACAACTGAACTTGCGTTGCTGTTCACATTTCTTCGTGTATGTAATGTATATGTAGTGACATATTCATATATCTAGTACGGTTCGAATATATAAGAATTTGATGAGTTAGCGATCGCACGCAATCCACATTAAATACAAACAACCACCACATCCGCAGTAAGCGATGCCGCTCTCCTTACAGGCACACCAAATCTTTCCTTATTGTATACTACCAATACCTCAAGTGGGATAGCTCGCTCCCAAAATTAATGTCAATAAAAGGGCAACACAAGAAATATTTTTGTCGCAAGAGTTAGTCTTAAGCTGAGATTTAATCAATAAAGACGTTATTTATTAAGCTTTTATTTCTTAGCGTTGTTCTTAGTCCACGGGACAAGACATTTGTTCGACTCGGTTTAACTTTAAACATTTCACTATATAGTAGTCGGCTTCGCACTCTTTCCTGGAGTGTTACGTGACTTCGTGGACTACCGTCCACAGAGATATTAAAGGTGAGATTGTTAACATTTCACCATATCCACGCGTTTTGTTTTCGTTTTTGTGTTTTTTTGATACACTATGAAATTGTGTAATATAGGAAATTATGTTAATTAAAATTAAATTTATTGTTTACTTTTAGACCAAAAAAGGATACTTACTTCTGATGAATACAATCCCAATTATTTGACAGAAAATCGAACAGAGTCGTATATCCTATGGATCGAGACGTTAACATACTGATAATTAACATTTTGTCGTTATCGGAAAAAATGGAAATATTTTTCAGCATTGCCAATTCAAGTAGAAAAATAATTTTTTCTCGTTGCGCTGGACATCCAGCTAGCATTTTTAATAAATAGGTGCGATCACTCTGAAGACGGAACTGAGGAAACTCGCGCATACGATCGAGTCCAAACATCCATTCCTTCATAGAGCCCCACTTAAACATTGGACATATGAACTCATTGGGGACCCTAAAATAATTAATTTCAAATAAAAATGTATTTGTTTTTATTTCTAAATCACTTACGGATATGAACTGTTGACCCACAGATTAAAAGCCCTTCTTGCTGCCTTAACACACGGAAAATATCCAGCTTTACATAAAAACGCTGTAGTCAATTTTCGGAGTTCAGTTATATTTATGTCTTCGTTAAAATTTGCCGTTTCCAAATAGTCATATAATGGTACTAAAAGTTCTATAATGTAGAGCTGAAAGAAGTGTTTTAAACTTGTTTTTTTTTTATTTATATTATTTTATTCTTACCTCAAACTTTCTGCTAATTGACGATTTTTCGAGACGTTTGCCAACTTGGTCAAGAAATGTGAATACTGGATTCCAAACAATAGGATTACGTTCATACTTCAAAAATAATGTTACATTAAGAGCAGTGGCAAAATTTAGTTCACCAGCATAAGCTAAGTTCCAGGCATCATGAAGTAGTTTTGCCCTTAAAATATATAGTTAAATGAAGAATGTATTAACACCTGTCGTTATAAAAAATTAAGAAATTTTAATTATCAAGGTAGAAGTGAATAATTGTTATTTTGTTACCACCAAATTAAAATATATCAAATCAAAACACATTTTGAAGCGGTTAAAAACTATTGACAATCGCACATATAAAGTTATAATGAAATATGTTGTAACAAAAACGTTGTTGTAAGCATTTAAGTAAATTTTCTAAGCAAAACATAGTTTGTTGTTTCTAATCATTATGTGTTCTACTTAATTCATTGTACACCAGTTCCTTAGCAATATATTAGTCCGGATTTAATTTGATCAAAATCTGTTCACGACGGCTGGCACAGGAAGTCGGAATTTTTTTTGAAAATATTAGAAAAGAAGCCATCGATTCGTTGTTATTGATCATAAATTGTTCCATTCGATAGTAAGTAAGCTCCTTAACCTCTCGAAAACAGCAAAAACACAAAATGCTAGAGAGAAATATCTAATGTGTTTATGCTAGGCAACCAACAATTTCTATCATGCATTAATGTACTCGTATATTCATAATTTGCAACTTTAGTGCATGTTACCGAAAAAGTCTGGTTAGAAGCAAAATGACATATAATGAAAATATTAAATGAAATGGGAAAACCTCAGGAAATAAATGCAGACAACGATTCAGCAATTACGTATATAGCTTTACACAATTTTCTAAATGCAGAAGGATTAAGAGCAGTAATTCCATATTGAACTTTGAAAGATGTTATAACACAATTAACGAGAATTTCAGAATAATAGGAAACGAAACCGACGAAAATAGGTACACAAAGTTCAACATTTTTCTGTACACTTATAACCCCATAAAACGAAAATGCTACAAAGAGAACACCAGCTGATATATTCATGTATGCCGGATGCCCAGATTATAACACAGAAGAAAAGAAAGTAGATTAAGTAGAATTAAATAGAATAGAATTAAATAGTAGATTAAGAAAACAGCAAATGCCACCTTCCACACTGAGATCTCGAAATGCACTCCTCCTTAAAGGCCTCTCGAAGCATTTGATAAGTTTCCGATGCATTTTTGCCAAGTCGCACACAAAACTTTATGGCGTACCGCTGTTCCAGCGAACGCTCCATCGCACCGTGACACAACAGAAAAAATGACTTCGCTCTACGACACGTCCTACCACTTCTATTGCTCAGAGCGAACTGAGACCGAGCGCGTTGGAAAGGAGAGACTCCGCCCCAAATTTTCAGACAGGTCCGAGCGTGCTACGACAGGTAGTTACGTGACAATGAAACCATGCGCATTACTTTCATAACGCACCCTGTACTATAATAACAGGCAAAGCGAACAAAACGTACATGTTAACTAAAGCAATATCATCACACAACATTGAAATCAAACCCATCAAATCAAAAACGGATACTTCGTGTTCAAAATTAGAACATTATATATACAGTATACCAATTATATATACCATTATTTAAGCATTAATATTACCAAAACCGAGATAGCATTCCAGGAAATTATACAGAGATAATATTTAAAAGAAAGACACAGAAGACAAATTGAGGGAATTAAAATAGCACAGCGAAATAAAAGAGGTATGTTTAATATTACGAAAGCAGCCTATAAATATTTATTCGATACCTTAGACCAAAACGATAAGGACGAGCTAGAACAAAAAATAACGAATTTATCTGAAATAAGCATCAAAAATACCACCTTGATTATTAAAAACTGGGATAGATTTCATAAACGAAATAAGAGAAAATTTAGAACAAGGAAAACAGCAGCTAACTCGACTCCGTATATTCAAAATTACTAAAACATGATTATTTAAAAGAAGTGAACTCTGAAATGAATGAGAACTCTGAAATGAAAGTGCATAACTAAAACACCAATTTTTTAAATCATCCATTATCCAGACAAAATTAATAACATACAAACAAATAATGTAGCCGAAAGATATTACTACACGAAGATACAGAAAAATACTATAGAATACTGTAGTCGAGATCCCCGACTATCAGATACATTCTTATTACTGGGCTAGTGGAAGTGAAAACAAGAAATATCAAATTTTTCTGGAATATCGGTAGAGAATTCTAAAAAAATAAAATAATTAAAATAAATAAAAATATTTTTCAAAAGTGTGGGCGTGACAGTTTTAGGCGGCTTGTGGGCGGGAGTATGTGTGTGACAAAAGTTTTTCGGTAAATCTATAGAAATTTACAATGTAATACAAAAATGAAAAAATATCAAAACATTTTTCAGAAATATGGGCGTGCCAGTTTTGTGGGCAACGTCATTTAACAAACTTGCGCTGCGTCTATGTCTCTGAAATCTGCGCTGCTTAATCTCCCCATTCTAGCTTTTGTAGTTCCTAATATGTCGACGTTCATACGGATGTACAGACGGACATGACCGCTCCCGTTTATTGATCCTGAATGTATATACTTTATATGGTCGGAAACGCTTCCTTCTGCCTGCTACATTGGAAGACTAAGCATGGACATTTAGCAACAGCCGCATTATCAGCACGTTCCCTCTTAATATCTAGATATACCCAGGATCCAAAGCATTGAGATCCAATCACAGGATTATATTGGGCTAAGTTTGACGGACACAGTTCCCTGACTCTCGTATTATCTGTTTCCTCGGAGCAATACTCGTGCTTATACTCGTATAAAGGCGTACCAACTTAATTTTTTCTTACGTACAACATACCATTGTAAGATCATTGTCGAAAGTGTATTAGGTATTAAAAGAATATTAGTTTTACGCCTTTCAGGCAATGAAGTTTCACTGATTTAAATAAAATGTTTAATAATTATTATTTTTATTAATAAAGATTACTTTTAGAGACGAGTGATAACAGCGTTCAGTGCACTCATTTTGAGAAGCTGAACTTTAGACCAGACAAAAGATCAGACCCTGGCGTCGAACAGGAGAGACCGATAACGCTTGAACAGGCAAACCTAATTTCAGCAAGGGCTTATGTGGTTAAGACCTGGTCGACTGTTTCAAGGATGGCGTGGTGTACGCCCGGTAAGATCCCGGGGCATCCGTAGGAAGTGAGCATGATAAAAGTCTGAGCAAAAGTGGGGTTAACGTTTGGTGTTTCGTGTCCATCTGCGACAGCAATTCCTTGTCCAAGTGCCCAGCATCCGGCCATGTATAATATTGGAGTACGGGAGCTACGCAGGACGACAAGAGACGCAGGACAGCGGAATACTCCTTTTTCAGTAAAGTTTACTATAATTTTCTTAGGTACGAACCTAATCAAATGTTATTTGTATTTAGATTCAACTTCAGTTTGCTCAGGATTTTAATTTGAGGAGCTTATATAACGTTTGCAAATTTTTTGTTTGTTTTTTAATTATAAGTTCAGTGAAAGAAAGAAAGTTTTTTCTCCAATTCGCAACAATTTATTAACCGCAATTTATTAACTAAATTCATTTTCGGAACTTGATTAATTGTACCCTTTTCAGTGTCTATCGTAGTTTTTATACCAGATACTCGTGGAGTAAAAGGGTGTACTAGATTCGTTGAAAAGTATGTAACAGTAAGAAGACAGCTTTTTCGACCTTATAACGTACTTAATCAGGATCAATAGCCGAGTCTAACTGGCCACGTCCGTCTGTACGTATGAACCCCACAATCGCAGGAACTTTAAAAGCTAGAATGTTGAGATCAAGCATGTAGCTTCCAAAGTTTCCAAATGTTGCCACGCCTACTCTAACGTCCACAATCCACCCAACACTGCCACACTAACACTTTTAAACAATTGTTGATATTTTTCCTTTTTCTTTTAGTCTTGCTAATTTTCATCGATTTGCACAAAAAAAAATTCCACGCACACTTTAATGACACAAACCGCGAAAAACTGACGCGCCCACACTTTTTAAAACATTTTAAAATTTTTTTCATTTTATTATTTTTTTTTTCGAATTTCTACCGATACCAGAAAATGATAAAATTTCTCGTTCTCGCTTCCACCAGCTGACATTTATCTGATAGTCGACTATACCTTTGTCTCTTTATTTAATTAGTAATGCTGTGGTTCTTCTTCCGAGACTACTGGCTACAAATTTTTGAATATCTTCATTGGCTCGGATTTAAGACTCCTTAAGAAGATTTAACAACCTTGTTTAATTTAACAAAAACGTATTTCTTGTTTGCTAGGCGCCTATATGATGTAAGTGGTGACCGGCGAGGGAAGGCAGCCATCCTAGTGGATCAACAGAATGACATCTGTATGCCAGTGGAGACACTCACCACAGACAATCTTCCTTTGCTCAGCATACTGAGCTCGTAGTGATATCGACGTGACATTCGTCAACGAGGCAGCATCTATGTGGGCCCCATATGAGTGGAGAGTGGACGTGTGGAAATTGAGTGACCAAAACATTAGTACTGTTGTGTCCGAACCACGAGCGCAGCTAAGAGCATAGCTCCTGTGCCGTCCTGGAACTTCTTCAATGCACGTTGGCGATAGTTCCAGCCTTAAAGCGTGGAGGAGAACGACAGGCTCTACGGCGAGGACACGCTGGGAGCAGGGAAATACTAGCTTAGAGTCTGCTGCTGAGTTGGCAGAACAGACGTGATGACGACAGCGAACCAGACCGGGCGACGCACAGGTTTATACCAGATGTCACTTTCGTCTATCGGAATCCAAATTTTTGTTTCATGATGAAGGCGTCTTTCTTCCTCACTCGGCACGATTCGTTAAATGCATTTCTGCACGCGAGAGCCCTCAGCGATACCACTGCTTGCGCATGTGGTGATCCATACCAGGATTGGATGCACGTATTGTGCGCTCCAAAGTACCTTTTACTTTGGAAAGCAATCCTTGCCTTGTCTCCAGACGGTTTTCTCCCGAGTATGACACCTCCCAGAAGAAGAAAGAACTTTTTCTTAGCTACTCTGGTCATCGGTTTGATAGGCCAAGTCTTCCCACCTAGTAGTCATATTTCATACTCCCTACTTTG